TCATGTGGTGCGACCATCAAGAAACTATCATTTTGGGACTTTTATGTTGAAATCCATTCAAAGATAGGACTTTGCATCATATACCAATTTGCTAAGGACCCATGGAAGCATCAAGCAGGTTTAAAGACAGAGCTGCTTACTTTTAATATGAAACAAAGTCTCAGTGTTCAAATTTTGTCTTTTTTTTTTTTAAAGAAATTCAAACAACAAATACTGTTTTGTGGCTCTTTAACGTGTCGTGACAGATCGCTGTAGCGCCTCAGTTGAAGCGGCACATGAACTGATCATCTCTTCATCTTTACAATTCATAGCACGAAATAAACATGAATGAACATCAGAAGGTATCTTGTTTCAACCGTGAAAAGATGTCAATACACACCATTTTTCTAGTTCAAGTCCACAGACGTTAATCTACTCTCCTGTCTGGTTTGTTGGACAAAAATGACATATTTGGCGTTATAATATGTCAGACTGCCTGCTAATCAAACTCCTGGCGAAAGGGTCAATTGAGCAGCAAATATTGGGCAAAGTACAGAAATAACTGGGGCTAAAGAAATTACTTCAGTTAATGCCATGTGCTGCACTTTTCACACGTCTCTTTAAATAGATTTTTAATGATATAAGGTCTTTGTGTCATTTGGAGCGACCACTCATCATGTGGTGCGACCAATAATAGCAATAACTGAATTAAATTAAAAATAAAATATTTTTTAAACTAATTTCTGTGGTTGAAATATGAATCACTGCTACAGCATGCTTAAGTGAATGGTATTTTTAAAACATTTTTTATCAGTTTTATGCAATTTACAGGAAAAATAAGTCTGTTAACTACATTTAAGAAGGCAACTCTGAAATTATAGAACAAAAATAAGAGATCATTATTTACAAAAACTCAAATTAAACGCAAATACGTTGTTTCTAAACACTTTAATTACTGAGAACATTTAAAAAAAAATGTTAAGCATGTTAAGGAAATTATTTAATTTTAATATAAATCATGGTCGCACCACATGACATTTTTTTTAAGGCTACGGCCAATTCATCTAGATGATAAAACACTACATTCACTTCATTTTAAATTTTAATATGAATTTATGTGTACACAACATTCTTAATGTTTGAACAATTACAATAGATATTATAATTGTTTGTATTTTATACATCAATGACCCATATATATACATACACACACACACACACACATATATATATATATATATATAAAGCCCTGGGATTTATTTAATATCAATTTGAATATTAATTTATCTATAGTTTTATGTATTTTAATGTGCACACACACAGCAATATATATAAAATAATGTTTCAACATTTTATAGGGGTCATAAGATGCCCATTTTCCACAAGTTGATATGATTCTTTAGGGTCTTAATGAAAAGTCTGTAACATAATTTGGTTAAAATTTCTCAATGGTAGTTTAGAAAAACACAGTTTTTACCCAGTCAAAAACAGGTCTTTTCAGAGCAAGCCGTTTTGTAGCATTTTCCTTTAAATGTTAATGAGCTCTGCTGACCCCGCCCCCTCACTTCCGAGCTGCTCTCTGAGACTGTTTACTTTAGCTGCATTCATCGTGAAACTTGCTAATTAGCACATTATTGGGAAAGGCGATTTGCAAAGATTCATTAAAAAACCTTACACTCACTTCTTCTGTAGATGAAGCTGGATCACAAATGATTCGCATGAACATAAACGCATTTATGTAGAATGCGGGGGCACATTCTCTTCAGAAACAAACGTAATCCACTGCGAGTTCAGCGGCTCAGATGTCGGGAGTAAATGACGACTGCTATGTTCATTATTACATCCAACAATTAAAAAAAACACTGGGTGGATTTTTATCATTATAGGGTGGTTGTGTACACACACTGCCAACACACATTTCAGTTCAGACAACTTGCAAAAGTGCATGTAGCATTATATGACCCCTTTAACAAATGATAAATGCATAATTATAAAGTACTACTTCTCTCTCTCTATAATATATTTTTTAATATGATCTATTCTTTAATAAATAAAAACTATTTTTGTGCTTGTTTTAACACCAGTGAGAGACGAGAGACAGAACAGCTTGAGCAGTCACGTAATCAGCCACCGCCACCAATCAGAACACAGAAATCACTGAACGTCACACTCACTCCTTCAGGACGCTCTATAAAGTTGGGGTGGGGCTTATGTGGTGTGGGGATTATCAAAGGGGGCGGGGCTTATCTAATGGGGTTGGAGCTTATCATGTGGGGTGGGGCTTATCTAATGGGGTTGGGGCTTATCATGTGGGGTGGGGCTTATCTATGGGGTTGGGGCTTATAATGTGGGGTGGGGCTTATCAAATGGGGCGGGGCTTAGCAAAGCGTCAATTACCCTCTATTGTTTCTCTGTCCTTCAGTCTGTGTCTCTGATAGCAGCGCTCATGATGATGATGATGATGATCACTCCTGACATTAATTGCTCTTTCACACATACTGTCGTTAAGAAGACGTCAGTCGGCTAATCACTAAATGAGTTCAGCTCTCCGCGGGTCACCAGACTCGACTGTCCAGTGTGATGATGGACAGGAAGTGACATCAGCTGTGATCTGAACATGTCTGGACTCATCTGATCATACTGACAACACTCTTACATTAACAATTATTATGAAATGCACAATAACTGTGATGAGAATTGAACCAGACGCATCACGATAAAGCACACTGCTGTCTGGAGCGGTTATCGCTGCATACTGATTCACATAAAAACAGCACGGAGTATTTAATAGAAGCCTTCGGGATGACCTCATTTACATGTAAATTAGCGTGTGTGTGTGTGTGTGTGTGTGTGTGTGTCGCAGCTGCAGATAAAAACACACAAATCTTTCAGTCCTGAATTCTGTATTCACAGCCAAACTGACCCATTAAAAGGAGACACTGTGTTTGTGTGTGTGTGTGTGTGTGTCAGGTCACCTTTATTTCTATAGCACGTGTCAAAGTAGCTTTACAGTGATAAACAGGAAAACTCAATTCTGATGTAAAGCAGCTCAAGAAAGACATCAGTAAACAGTGTGTGTATTTGTGTTAGTGTGTGTGTGTGTGTGTGTGTGTGTTTGAGTGTGTGTGTGTCTGTGTTTGTGTGAGTGTGAGTGTGTGTGTGTCTGTGTCATAGTTGTCATAACATGTAAATAATTGTAAAGAAAAATCTTGATTATAATAACCACACAGCAGAGCGTTCGCACACGCGTGACGTGTTTTACCTCGATCCGGTGCAGGTTATCGAGAAACAAACACTGAAGTCTGTTTGTCAGACTGAAACGTTCACAGCAGAGAAACGAGTGAAAGACGAGGGAATAAAGAGTGGAAGCTGAATGAACGGAGGAGAAACAGGAGGTGCGAACGGCGTTCGTCAAACACACTGGCTCTTCTCTAAAGTCGAGGCCATATGAAGACATCACTCTCACACACACGGATGCAGAAGCGCGACAGAATCACAAACACACACCCACTCATCAGAGAAACGCTCTGCTGCTGGGGTGACTGGACACTTTAAAAAACGACATAAAAATGTAAAAAAATATATATTATACCATAAAAAAAAACAAAATGCAATATAATATTATATATTAAAATTGTTTTGTATTAAATGCATAAATATGCATGTACTGATCACAAAAAAAAAAAGAGTGTTTTAAATGGGTTATATTTGTTGGGTTGTCTCTGGGTTTGGATGCTGTCTGCTTCACCTTCAGCATTTTATTTCACTGACATCTAGTAACCAGCTTACACTGTTTTAATCCCTTCTTAACTAACCTAACCATAAAAACTAAGTAAGTCGACACATATCCTGGTCCGAGCCGGTCTAGCAATCCCTCCTAACACCAGAGAGATGTTCATTAAGCAAAGCAGATCAGCTTCAGATCTACAGGAAACAGGAAGTGAAGGGACTCTGCTCGTATGCTAATGCTCCAGTGTGTCTGCATTTCACTTAGCGACCAATTAAAGCAACTAAACCAAAAGGGAGAGCTCGAAAAACAAATTAATCACCACAATAAATCAGCCAATTAAGAGATGAGATGAAATTAACATCAAATTACATGCAGGAACAGATAATGAAGACGGCGGGTCCTCACACACACACACACACACACACACACACAC